AATGATGAGGAATATCGGTCCACTAATTTTAAACCGTTCAAAAAATCAATATTTCCAAAGATAATATACTTAATTATACCCTCAGCCATATGGCTACAGAGGGTATATATAATCGACTTTGATCCGTTACAGGACATTTGGAGTCGATATAGCGATGTCCGTCCGCCCGTCTGTCTGGCTGGCTGGTGCGCACGATTACTCTCGAACACAAAGGTCGACATTTTCAAAAAAAAAAATATTTTTTGCACAGAAAGAGAAACGATAATCCGATTTCAACTTTGCAAATCCTAATATTTGCGTTATTTGTAGGTCAGGTGCGAAAATGGACAATATCGGCCCACTCCCTCTGGCACCTCCCCCACAAAAGGTCATAATTTTAAATTATTATAACTCTTATATAATGTGATTTAGGAGTCCGATTTTCTTCAATTTACACACATCACAATGTTTTAATAACCCAAGGTCTGGTGTGAAGATGGAATATATCGGTCCACTCCTTCTGGAGTAGACTGACCCACAAAGGTTGAGAGTTTCGAATAACCAAAACGATTATAATATCCGAAATAAGCATCCGGTTCTCTTCATATTTCACACATCCGATTATTTCCACTAGCACAAGATCTACTGTGAAGATGGGATATTTCGGTTTACTCCTTCTGGAGCTGCCCACAAAGGTGCAAAAATATCGGCATAATCCTTTTCGTAACTTATAAACGATTATAATATCCGAAATAAGCATCCGGTTCTCTTCATATTTCACACATCCAATTATTTCCACTAACACAAGATCTGCTGTGAAGATGTGATATTTCGGTTTACTCCTTCTGGCACCTCCCCCACAAAGGTGCAAAAATATCGGCATAATTCTTTTTGTCCGATTCTTTTTTAGGCTCCACACATTGCAATACAACTGCAAACTGAAAATCTCGTGAGAAGATGAGATATAGAATGCCACTCCTTCTGTTGCCTTTCTCATAAAGTGTCAAAATTTTGAATAACTTTTACTCTTTGAAGTACATTTTGCAGAGCCCAATATTTTTATCATATTTGATGAAGTGGGAAAATGTTATACATCGGTTGTTATACCTCGCTTATCATGCATCGAATATATTATGCCTCCTAGGACTGCAGTTTAATATATATGTGTGTAAATGTATGCCACAGTCCCTTAGAAAACATCAGCAGCATGCAATTCCCTTTGCAAAGTTCCCCATTGGGATACAATGCTGAGCACGTTGTCGGTATACACACAATGTGCCAGGACTCCCTATTCCACGCACACAATCGCTCACACCACAGACGATGTGTAACAAACACCACAACATAGACTACAATTTATGTATTTCACTTCTTGGCATGACCTTCAAAAACTTGCTCCTGTATTTCCAACACAAATATAGGTATATAGGTAATTATATACCCCACATACATACATACATACACTTTTTCCTAGCATAAATTGTCGGCAGGAACATAAATAAAAACAAAAACGACAACAGACAAACACTCACACACATCTTGCACTTGAACTACTTATGTTTTGTGGATATGTAAATTTCACTGCCAATTTGAAATTCAATTTTTAAAACTTACATTGATTTGCTTAAAGACGAAGACAGGTTGTTTGGATGCTTCACACAAAGCGATAACTCAAATCTGCAGCCAATCTCAATTTTATGCAAAGAATAATACAATTTGTTCTTGAATTTTGAAAATTTCACTTTTACTTTTGCTTTTCTTCGAATCGAAATAGCTTTTTTTGGTTAAAATTATTCATTTGAAAATCGAATTTTTTATTAGATTTAATTCTTTTTGAAAACACCACACTTTGTATTTATGTAACAACCGTTGTTCTTGTTGTCGAAGATGATTATGGGGTTTTACGCTTTTAAGGTACCCAACAATGCCGCTAACACTACACTAACAAACCGACGACGGAAACCGTTGCGGTATGACTGAACTTGATTCTTGAACAAAACACAGTTAAACTTGGACTTGGCCCGACGATTGTTTACAGTCAGACAGAGTCTAGGGGGTGCGTATGTGTGTAGATTTGTGCGGCTATGTTAATAACAGCACGACTTCTATGCATACAAATACATACATGTGTGGTTGTTTGCAAGCTGCTAAGTTGGTTGTCTGCGACAGTCAGTACAATAGCGAACATCATTATTGTGTTGCCATTGTCATCATCATTATCGTGATTATTGTTAGCACAACAAAGAACCTAAGAGCGGAAGCAGACACAGGAAAGCTTAAAAACCCTCCAAAACATTAACTCTCACAGAGAGTTTTTTTGAGAGAGAAGCTTTTTTGGCGCCAAAATATACCTACATTTCCTTCACAGCGCCAGTGTTGTCAATGTTTTTATTGTTCTTCGTCGCCAACAGATAGTAGCTCATTCCACGTATTTATACCATTCGCCATTAAAAGGATCAAAATATTCGTGGGAGACTCCATATCTACAGATAGAGATCGATAAAAGATAGAGGTTTGACATTTTGCACGTCCATTGATGTAATTTCTGGGATAATTCATCTGTGGGTTTTTTTGTGTGGCGTTATCCATCATAGCTCAAGTGGATAACCAGAATCTCCTATAACAACATTTACATTTTATAAACATTTTATTGAAAACCATTTTATAGATCTTAAAACTTAGCTTATATCCAATAATTTCTAATAACTAACAACTGTTCGGGTGTTCCCGAACAAAAGAATTATCGACAGCTCGATCATATTTCGAACATAACGCCAAAATATATTCGTCTTTGCATATCTAACAGTTTCAATCACATTTTTTGAAAGAAAATCTAGGGATTTCATTCATATATCGCGCTGTTTAACTCATTTTAAAAACAAGTAAAAAAGTTTCGTCGGTATTGCCAACATATATATACCCACGGCCAATGTTCGATTATTTTAAAATATTTTGACTTCTATTATGAATTTTCAAAGTCTTGACCCTCTATGAAGTGGATTTGGAAAGAATGGGTCAATATGGTCTATTTCGTATCAGACCTAAATAAATATGATTTAAATATTATTATATAAATTAGTAAATCGAACATTTATATCCAATTTATGAGAAATCATAAATTCCATATTCATCTCAGGATTCTGGATGAGAGACATATATTTAGATATAGTAAGCTGTAAAGAATCGCTGAGTTGTTTCGCAATTTATGACAGATAAAAGTATTGAAAATGTTGTGCCTTTGTGGGTGAGGTACCAGAAGGGGGTCGCAGATATATATCTTCATACATACATACATACATCTTCACAGCAGATCTTGTATTAGCAAAAATGTTTGTATGTGTGAAATTTATTTTCTTTGAGCGTTATGTTTTCCAAAATTTTGAACCCTATGTGGGCCAGGTAGCAAAAGAAATGGTCCAGTCTCTACCATCTTTATAATAGATCGTGTGTTGATGGAAATATTGGGATGTACCATGTCTGGAATGGAATCGGATGTTGATTTCGCTTTTTATGAACTTCATGGATATTCAAAATTTTGAGCGTTTGTGGGGGAAGTACCAAATGGAGTGGAACGATATATTCCGTCTTACTGCCAGATCTTGGGTTCATAAAAATAGCAGGATGTGTGAAATTTGAAGACATAAGATTTTTAAGAGTTATAATTATTCAAAATTGTGTCCCTTTGTAGGAGAGGCACTTGATGGAGTGTACCAATATTATCCATTTTGGCACGAGACCTAGAACTAATGCAAATATAAGGATTTGCAAAATTAGAGAAAAATTCGATTATTATTGCTTCCCTTTCTGTGCAGAATATATTTTTTTGAAAATTTCAACCTTTTGTGGGGGTGGTACCAGAACGAGTGGGTCGATGTTGTCCATCTTAACACCAGACCTTGGGTTAATGTAAATATTGGGATGTGTGAAATTTGAATACAATCGGACACTTGTTCATCACATTTTATGAGAGTTGTAATTATTTAAAATTTTGACCATTTGGGGGGGAGGTCTTTTTTGGAGTTAACCGATACTGTCCATTTTTGCACCTGAGCACTAATGCAAATATTAGGATTTGCAAAATTGGAGCATAATCAGAATATCCTCTCTCTCCTTTTGTGCAGTAAATTATTTTTCTTCGAAAATGTCAACCTTCTACGATGTACCAAGTTTGGATCAAATTAAATACTCCCGTCGAGAGTTATCGTGTGTACCAGCCAGACAGACGGGCGGACATCACTAAATCGATTCCAAACGCCCTAAAACGGATTTGGTTCAAAGAGTCTTAAGGTCTAAAACCGCTATTTCGATGAGGCTCGTTTTGGCCGTATCAAACGATATACAGGGTGAGATGAAAAAACTACAACCAACTTCAGAATACTGTCATTTCTAAGCCACTCGTCCGACAGCTGTTACAATTATTCCAGTGACGGCTCATTATATTGTTTACAAGCGTACAAAAGCATTTTGGTGAGAATTATTCAGAAAAAAAGTTATTCGTGATGGAATTCAAGCGTGATAGTGTGATTTCTTTATATTTCGCTGGAAAACCACAAGTGGCTATCATTAGAGCACTCCAGCATTTTAATGTGAATAAATCTTTTGTGTCTCGTACCGTGATACTGGTAGCGTAGTCCGACGTCAAGGAAGTGGACGGAAGAAAACAGCAACATCAGCAGAAGTGGTTCGAAAAGTAAAGAAGCGACTTGATTGAAACCCGCGTCGCAGCGGCCGAAAAATGGCTCGTCAGCTGAAAATATCGCAATATTCCATTCGGCAAATATTAAAAAATGAGCTCGGGGTAAAGCCATTGAAATTCCAAAAAGTGTAAGAACTTACACCGCAACAGCCGGGCAGCGTGTGACGGTTTCATTAGCCTTTTGAAGACCATAATTCGAGCCAAAGGTGACCAATTCGAACAAATCTAAACGTATTCTAAAATTTGATGCTATTTCCGACATATTTTGCTTTCATTCAATAAAATTAAAAAAAAAAAGAATAATATTTGAAAATTTAGATTTCATATATATATATACAGGCATGTCACAGAAGTTTTACGAAATCGATTTAATTCACCTTTTCCAAATCGTTACGATTTGCTTTTGCTTCTTCAGCACTCGTACGTTTTGACTAATCCGGAAAAAAATCATTTCACATTTTTGAAATAAAAATATGGTAACTCCATGAAAAAAAAGTCGTAAACAAATTATTGACAATTAAAAAAGGAGTTTAAATTGTTTTTTATAATATAAACACCAAAAGTAAAAATGCCAGGGGCTTCAATACTTGCTGTAATGGATGAAGAAATAAATCAGCGGTCTACTGAAAAAATTCGTCGCCGGACATTGAGGAACGCATCAGATCCTTTATCTCACTCAAATGCAGAGTAAGGATCCACCAGCAATGAGTTATTTTCAAATTTATTTTAATAATAAATTATCTCTACAGATTTATAACTTATTATCGACAGCAAAGCTGTCAATTCCGTCCATAGAGAATCAACAACAACCTTATCACCTTTTACATAGCCCCTGGCAATATCGTGATGTTTATCCATAAAATTGATAAAAATTTTGTCCTGTTTAACGTTTCGGTGTTTGCCCCTAAAGTATAAAATAAATTAAATAAACAGTTTTTGACGAAAATTTAGAAATATGTATGTAAATACTTACATTTTTGCCCGATTGACTGAAGCGCTCTGTCTCAAACCCAACAATTAATTGTTTTTTTGTTTTTCCCCTTTCTTGCTTTTTGGTCTGTCAGTTGTACATTTCTACACCTTCTTCTTCAACACATATGGCAATAATTCAACAATACAAGTCTGCCGTTCATTTCTGCATATTTTTTTGCGTTTTCATCATGGATTAGAAAAATAATAGATTTTTTGTAAAATAAATTCCAAAAACATGTTCATTCTAAGAGAATTTGGTTAATACAATATTTTCTGTTAAATGTATGTGTCTTCTGTTTATTTTTTACGTTAAAATCACTAAACATTTCAATTTCACCCTGCTTTTTGAAAGTGATATCAAAACGCAAAATGTTTGCATTTTCCGTTTTTTAGAGAAGCTAAAACCGTTTTCGTTTTCACTCTTGAACGATTTTACATTCTGTGACATGCCTGATAGTCACTGTTTGATGCCGATTTTGGTTCAAAGGCATAAGTGGTTCATTATTCTTCGAAAATGAAAGAGAAGGATATTAGCCAAGTGATATTGCCACAAAACGGAAGTTATATGCCTTTACATTCGGCCCAATTACGGTTGTCGTTACTATGGTCGTCGTCGACTTTATGTGAGAGTCGCCCTCGCCGTCGCTTCGATTCAAAAATGGTATTATGGTAAGGCATAGAAGCGACATCGACAGTTTAAAATAAAAGTTGGCAACAATTAAAAAACTTTGGCAACACTCCCTTGTTATTGACAAAAAAAGATATTTTTCTGGTATTTTGAATTCTAATTTCGACTCTTTCGGAAAAATAAAAAATATAGTGAAAAAATGAAGATTATAAATGCGTTACATATCTTAAGTTCAAGTGAGGATGAAGAGAAGAATGTATTAGTAGTGCAGCGGCGAGTGTTAAGTCAGCCAACAAACATATTTGCATTGCCTGGCTCTTGATTGTGTTGTTACAAAAGTGTTCAATAGTTTCTACTTTCCTTGTAGACTTTTTACCATTGTTTTTTGATCGAGAAGCTTCAATAGTAGGTTACACCAGTCTCGTCATCAGCATTGTCCACTTGCTCATTTTCATGAACTATAACGTCTATTACACTTATGTTTTCCTTATTTTCTATTCCAAGTGCACGACCCGGTGGATTCAAAAACTTTTGAAACTGCATTATATTCGCGACAGACTCCTCCAAAGTCATTTGCTTAAAAATGTCACATCCATTGCTGCTGGTTTCACCCTTGTTGTGCACAAGTTTTTTTTTTTTAGTTTAAATCTTTCCAAACCTAGAAGAATTTTAGAAAACTAACTAATAAAAACGTACAAAAATAATTTTCATTTTTACATACTTTTTGCCAGCCATCGGAGGCCCGCTTACATTTAATTTTGTGGCAATGAATTCCCAATCTGAATTAAAATTTGCTGGAACATGACCTTTGGTAAATCTTTTTGCCAAACATGGATTTTTTTCAATTCGGAAACCAAAATTTCAAATTGTTTTGCTGTTGTTATTTTCGTGGTCAAATATAAAATACAAAATGCTTACAATATCAACGTCGACTAAAAAGTACTATGTCGTCACAATTTTTTACGGCGACAGATATTCTAAAAAATCGACTTCACGTCGACTGTTGTATCGACAATGATAATGGCAACCATTTGTCGCTATCGACAAAAAACGACAACCCTAATATCATTATTGTCGCCTCGACTTCATTTTGCGACGCCGACGATAACCGTAATAGGGCCGATTAGTAAGTTTAAAATGTTTTTCATAGTATTCAACAAATCCGTGCTTGTCAGAAGAGCAATACTTTCTTTATCCAACATGCCACCGTGCACAATCTAAAGTTTACATTCCACCCAACTAAAAAAAGAAAACACACATTTTAATTAATATTTCCATTTTGAATTTATTTTCTAATCATTTCTTTTTCATTATTTTCGAATTTGTTTATTATTAATATTATTTTTATTATTTTTTTTTTCATCATTTCAGTGTATGTTGAAGTTTTGTTGTTATTTTGGTGAGAGATTATTATTGTTATCCCAACATATTTCTTTGTGTGTGTGTATTTTTTTCTTTTTTCATTTTTTTTAATAATAATCATATTTTGTATGTTGTATCTGTTAAGAGTTCTTTTTTCCTTTGTTTTATACCGATATTTTTTATATGGTAGGTAAGTGTAATTATTTTCTTCTTGTTTATTAATAATTTATATAATATAAATAATATTTATTTCAATTATGTATATTCATTCATTTCTTTATATTGATGTTGGGTGTTGTAAATGCAAAAAGCAAAACAAAACAAAAATGAATGATTAAAATAAAAACCCTATGGTAAAACCCTATGGTACACGCTGATTGCGTGTTTGTTCCAAAAAAAAAACAAAAAAAATGGGATAAAGAGAAGTTTTGGCCGAAGTTCAAGGTTACATTTAAATTTTGTATTTTTCAAAAACATATTTGAAATCGATTTTTTTATTTATAGCTTCTGTGTCAGATTCAAGTGTAAACCAACAACCGTAATAAAAGTAAGGAACGACAGCAAAAACTACTTGCAAAATACCCCCACGACTATCTCGTTAAAATTCATTGTTCTCCATGACAAAACCCCAGCCAAAACTTTTCAACCCCCGTTTTAAGAACATAAAAAAATATGTGAAAATTAACCAAAAAAAATGAAAAGTTTTATTGAAAATTGTTCATTTATTTTATGTGTAATAGAAGTCATAAAGCATCAGTTGTATCTGGTTCTGCTACTTAGGTAGTAGGTAAAAAAGAATTATTAATAATAAAAATAATAGTTATAACCTAAAAAAATTACAATTCTTAAAAAAACAATTTAAATCAAATTTATATTTTTTTGTTTCTTACGTTTAGCTTCGAGTTATAAGAAGGGGAAGGACAGTTATTATTAAATATAATTACAAAAACACAGTTTTATTTAAATTTGTTATTATTACTTCTTGTTGTGTTTTAAATAGTTTGATGAATTATTATTTTTTTTTAAATATATATATATAAAAAATCGAAGGGAACAATTCTTTTATTAGAAAATAATGAATTTCTTTTAATGTTAGAAATAATAAAATTATATTAAGCTAATATTTTTATTACTTTTATATTTATAGGTTTTGCAATGTTTTTATTTTTTTGTTTGTTTTTGTTTTATTTTTTTTTATCAATTATTTATAAACTAAATAACTATTCTGAATTTTTATACATGGTTCTCTTATATCTTGACAGATTTTACTTGAATTGTTTTTTTTAGAATTTTTTATTTTTTTTTGTTTTGTTTTATGTTTAAGCTTAGAACTTAAGGCAAAATTACAAACTAAATTTTTGTTATTTATTTTCATTAGATTTTTTTTTTTGTAATTTTTGTTACTCAAGTAATTCAAGTTTAAACGAACTTAAAAACAAGATTTTATAATGCAAAGATCATTTCTGTTTGTTAAAGTGTTGTTGTTGTTGTTTTTTATATTTTAAATATCTATATATTTTCTGTATAAGGTTATTTTGTAATTGTATGTATATATATAATTATATTATAATATTTATATATTTGTTTCATTAAATCTTATAGTATTGACTTAAAATGAAAGAAAACACTGTTTATTATTAGTTTAATTTAATTTGTTGTATATGCAGCATAAAAGTTACTTTTCAACTGAATTTTACAGTGTGTAGTATTTTTTATATATATTTTTTTGTCTGTTTTTTTTATTTTGCAAATGTATATTCCTTTAACATTTTGCTTGTATGTCAAGAATATTTTTATATTTTTATATTTTAACTTTTATCATTTTATAATTATGAAAAACTATATAATTATGTATATGTATAGTATATATTTATTGTATGCTTTATTATAATATTGTACATTTTTTAAGTGTCGGTTTTTCATTACTTGCATTCTGTTGTTTTTTTTTGTTTTTGTTTTTAGTTTTTTACTTTCCTGTTAAGAGGTGTAATGCATTAGTCTTAGCGGTTTTGTTGTTGTTTTTGTTATAGGTATATTTTAATGTTTATATTGATTTGTGTGTATTATTTCATTGTAAAAATAGGTAGTTTTTGTTAAAGTGGTTTCATTTCTTTCTATGAATGGTGACATTAATGTTCGCCTTCGTTTCTATAAACCAAGATTTGGTCAACCATCCAACAAATGTCTGTGTGAAAAAAGAACTTGTTGCTTTTTTTTGTTATCATGTGACAGAAAACATTACATCCATCCATTTATGTGATATTATATATCTATTTAAAAGCAGCCAACAGTTTTTAACATTTAATTTAATTTTCTTGCTTTTCATTTGGTTCAATGTTAAATTTAAATACGAAATAAATCCAACAAAAGAAACAAATCAAATTTTCTAATTCTGTGCATGTTTATTGGCCAACCACTTATCCAATATAAGTCACACAAATTTTAACTTGAAAGATGAAAAGGAAACAAAGATCTTGAAAGCTTTCTAGATAAAGAAACATTATTCTGATAACTAACGGAAAAAAAATTCTTGAAAATATTATTTTTTAGATTTCGTCGAAATTAACGTCTCTTTTCTGATTTTATAACAATAATAAGAAATGATATTGAAAATAAATACCAAAGAACACGACAAATTTTATCGTCGGAAAATATATTTATTCTATTAGAGAAGAAATGACCGAAAAACATAAACCATTCACATTAGAAAACATCATTTCTCAACTGTCGGTAAAGGTTAAAATTTTGCACAGAATATGTGTCCAGTTTTTGAACACAAACGATGACAAAGTTACACACAAGTATCGAAATAATTTATCCAATACATTGTGCATTGTTTTTTCAACTTTACATAAAGAAATTTATTTGTAGTTTGTTTAATAAATATTTATATTTAAATATAATTTGTAATCATTGCATTTTTGCTCTATTTTTCCTTACTATTACAGTTTTCAATTATAAACAAAATTCTTTCTTTCTGCGTGTTATATGTGTTTTTTGTTTTAACGAAAAGAAAACTTACAATTTAAGGAAAGTCATTGAAAATTAATAAAAATAAGAAAATATACATTTATGTTTGCTGTTGATAAGCGTTTTTAAAGAATCTTGTCAGTATATATTTTTTGGGGCATCATAGATGATTATAACACACAGTGTAGAAAAGGTAACTAAAAAAAAAAGAAAACAAAGCGAAATAATTCCCATTTTGCAGAATGAAAAAATACGAGTCAATTTTAAGTTTTGCAAAGCACATGGATTGGTTTAAATTTCTTTTTCAAATGTAGTTTGCTGTTTCAATATCTATCTATATGGTGATAATAAGCCAATTACAACACACATATACACGATTCCTGTTATTGTTTCTTAAAGTGTTGTTCTTTTTTTTGTTTTGTCTTAAAAATAACGATTGTTGTTATTGTTTGCATTGAGATTGTTGTTATTTTTCAGATTACCATTAAATGAGTGTTGTTGCTGTTGCAGTGGCGGCAATGGTTGTTGCATGTTGTGAGAATAATGTTGCTGTTGTTGCATTTGGGATGGATGCGGCGGCTGTTCAATGGTTAAGTCGTGGCTTTTATACACTGTACGCTGTTGCTGAAAGTAGTGTTGTTGCTGCTGCTGCTGCTGTTGTTGTGGATTAGACGACGCTTGTGGGTGTAAGAGTTGCGTTGCCGGCTGATAATGTTGCTGTTGTTGCATTTGGGGCTGCTTGTGACTACGTATACGATTGTGTTGTTGTTGTTGCTGCTGCTGTTGTTGTTGTTGTTCATCACTACTATATCTACTACTATTGGCTTGGGTTGTCACATGGTAATGTTGCTGTTGCTGCTGCTGTTGTTGTTGTTGTTTAGGATGATGCGTCTGCTGATTGGGATGATGATGATATCTTACATTGGCGACAGCAGACGCCTGAAGTCACAACTAATCTTCATCGCTCAGGGCTTCGTACTGAGCCGAAAGCAAAGGTTTGGGTTCATTTGATGCGCCTCCAGGCCCACCACCGGGGCCGCCGCCACCACCGCCGCCGGACGTCGTGCTTACCACCGAATTGGGTCCAGCATCATGTACCCCCCCACCGCCACTGCTATGCAAAATATGTGTTGGCTGTTTGTGTGCCGATGCTGCAGCGCTACTTTGCATTTGGTGGGCTGCATTAAGACTCATTTGTGGTGGTGGCGGCAAACCACCGGCCGAGCTGGGTACATTCAACGCACTGTAGGGATACGCATAGGTTGTGGCTGCAAATGTTGTCACAGGGGTCTGTTGATAGGCAACAGCTCCACCACTGCCAGCGCCTCCAGCACCGCCGCCCTTGCTTGAGGGATGCGATGAATCACTGCTAGCCGAATGTCTTCCACTATCTCTCTCATCATATTGATTTGGTGTTTTACGTGGCTCATGGCTATCCTTGAGACGATGGTCGTGATCATTGGCCACTGGGCCGCCACCACCACCGGCCCGGTGGTCGTCTTCTGTTCGCATTACCACCTGTATCCGATCATGCACATACTTCATGGTATCGAATGTGTGAATTTGCGCAACCTGTGATGGTGGCGCTGAGGATGATGAACCACCAGCCGAACTGCCCGGTCCTGAATCATAGGGCGACTGCCTCATCAGAGACGAACCATGGCTTGCACCCGGTGGAGGGGCACCATGCTGTTGTTGCTGCTGCTGCTGCTGTTGTTGTTGGTAATGGTATTCATGTGCCATGAAATCCGGCAGATATTTACGTGGACTCACCGCCTGGGGCATTCGTATAATATTACGATCATCACCGGGTGTAGTGGAACGTCCACCACTGTTTGTCGGCGTGCCAGGGCCAGAACTAGAATTTACGCTTGATTGGGAATTAGGTGGACATCCCGCCTTTGATGCAGCCGCGGCGGCAGCAGCTTCCGCATCTTTTTGCACACGCCTATTCATTTTCCATCTATCCGGGGTTACTATGCTCTGAGCATCCTGCATATAGGGCATAAAATTGGCTGGATGTGGAGCAGGCCTGAAATGCATGGGAACCGTGCCGTAGTCGTTCGTTATAATGGTTTCGGCCAATTCGCCAAAAGTTATATTTTTCGTTCGCATTTGCGACGATTGCGATGAAGGGGGAGCTTGTGATGTGGGTGGTGGTGGTCCACTGTTGCGAACATTACGGGCGTTTTGTGTCGATTCGTGTTGAACACTGCTGCCAGGTACACCGCTCGATGAAGAGGATCCGACACTGGCCCGATCGTTGTCCAAATCAATATTAATAACATTCGGCGAAGAGGATTTGCCATTATTCTCCGCGGCCTGTAAGGAGGATATCACATTGGACGCATGTCGTGGGGCACCAATGTCACGAGAATTGTACTGTTGAAAAAAGAATCGCATTATTAACAACCGCAAACCTTTATTGCATTTTGAGGTAACTAGATGCTAAAAAAGACGACTTACAAATCCACTTCTGGGCAAATCGCGATTGACACTCAGGCTGCCGGGCTCTGTACTCCTTTGGCTCATTTGTTGAATAACTATTGCATCTATTAAGTTCTGGGCGGACAGCGTTGCATCGGTTGGCGGTTGCCCTTGATGTCTTAGGTCTCTGTGGTATCTGTAATGGAAGTGACTTAGTTGCAATTTACCATGCATACACTCCTCTCCTCGCTTCTCTCATCGAATACTTACGGGTCTCTTTCACGATCTGGTATCGATCGCGGTGGTCCTGAATCGGGTGGGCCACGTATGTAATGGGGCCCAGCGACACCTGCAGCAGCTGCAACAGCCGCTGCGGTTACTGCATTACCTGCGTAGATACGTTCCATACGTCTGCCATCACGCTCTCGTTCTTCGGCAGCTCTTTCTTGTTCCCTTCTTTCGCGGTCTCGTTCTCGATCACGCTCGCGTTCTCTTTCACGATCTCGTTGCTCGCGTTCTCTTTCACGATCTCGTTGCTCACGATCTAACCGTTCCGCGTGCATCCGTTCTATGCGGTCGCGTTCTTGTCTCTTCAATTGCATATCACGATCGCGTTTCGCCTGCTGTTCCATGTAGCGGCGTTGCATATCAGCATGCTGCCTGTACTGATGTTGTGCAGCCTGCTGCTGTTGGGCCGCTGCAACAGCCATGGCTTGTTGTTGGTGATGAAGGACAGCTATGTGTTGTTCACGATTCATTTGATAGCGGATGGCATCGTGATGTGTGGGAGGCGGTGGTTGCTGCGACTGGCCCGAAGATGAAGGCGGTGGCGGCGGACCCGATGTCACCGAAGTTGCCGATGACGAGGACTTGTCATCTTTCTGTGAGGGCACCGGCAATTGTGGCTGCTGTACGGCCAGATCAACGAATGACGAGAATGCATCGTGACCGGCTAAAGAAATAAAAGGATCCAAATGAACTTTCCGGCCACCAGATTCTCTTTCTATTTGTTCTGCGGTCTTACCTGGCGGATAATTGTGCGACATCACAACATGCATCCGACCTTGGGGTGGTGCTGCAGGTGATGGTGGTTTAGAACCGCCAGTGTTATGGCGTTGGATAACACCTTGTCTAGGCGGTGGTGGAGTACGATGTGGACTGGGAGTACTTAAAATGAAAGTGTATTAATTTAAATAACAAACAAACCTTTTGATGGAATTATGTTAGCTTACCTGTTGCTGTGTTCTGCTGGTGATTCTCTGCTAGAGTACTCTGTACGGCCCCTATCCTTATCATAATATACTAGACCGCTTCCGCTGTTGCGTGGCGACGGTGATTCCTTTCCAGATCCTGGGGCCCCCGTCGAATTAGCACTACCACTCCTGGGCACACTGCGTTGCTGCTGTCCCTGCATCTGCTGTGACGTTATATAGTCGTGCATAACAATCTGCCTGGTGCTCAGTACCGGAGACTGTTCCACGGTGTAGGGTGCTCTCGAATAGCTGCCAACAGCATAGGCGTTTTGTGGTGGCGGCTGTGGAGACGATTGTTGTTGCGACTGCGGCGGCGGTGGTGGGTGATGTTGCTGGGCTGGACTTTGTCTCTGTGACGGCTTGAAAGCAAATTCGTAAGCTCGCTTGCTGTCCAAAGGGGCCGGCAAGTGAATGGGAGTCCCCTGGGTAATGGAGCCAAGTTTGTTGTTCTCTGTTGGCCCACCAGCGCCCGATGGAGGTGTTTGACGCAGCAAGTTGTCAAACTTGGGACTTAGTGTTGCTCCAGCAGTGGCCGAGTGCACAATGATTTGTTGAGCGGCATTACTGACGGGTGTACCATGGGTAATCGAACCCTTGGGACCGACCAACAATTGTTGTTGTTGCTGTTGTGAAGGCGACGGCGCCTGCCCGTGAGAACTGGGCGGATGTATAAGTTGTGGACTCAATTTTGGTGGCATCTTATTAAGGCCTCCCACGCCTTTACTGTGTTGACTCGACAACTGCATATGCGATGGCGGAGGTTGTGAAGGCGGTGCTTGAGAAGTTGGGCCACCACGTCCCGAACCACTACTTACTGGTATGGTGGGTGGAATGGGGACAGGTACTTGTGACACATAAAGAGATCCCGGTGGTGGAACCTTACCCACACCGACACTCGCTGAGTGAGGATGAAAAAGGTACGCGTGATTGTTCGGAGCTCCGATGAGGGGAGTGGGATCGGAACCACGATATATGCTGGGAGCGTTGCCAACATGTTTAACTGCCGTATTTGTTTGAGGCTGTTGATGTCGCGAGAGGCCGCTCTCACTGCCACCACCCACGCCGGTTGCAGACGAGGACGACGATGACGCATTTAGCGACGAAGAGTTATGGGGAGAAGGACCATCCCGTGATGGTTTCTTTATAGACAGATCCAATGTTTGTGGCTCCGGTTCGTTGTTGCGAGATGTAGCATAAATAATGGCATCAGGAGGCGGGCCGGGCACCACATGCGGCGGCGTCGATGTTTTCCCTGACTTTAGTACTGGAGTAATTGTGGCCTTAATGTCATGCTGTTGGTGATGCATTAGACCACCTGGACCTCCTGGAGGCATCAAATGCTGACCCGGTATATAAGAGTTCACCACTGACAGGGTGGCCAAATTCTCTGGATGGCCTGGAGCATTTGCAGCAGATTGTGGCGCTTGTTTTTGTGATTGTCGTACATTTAAGTTTTGTACGGAATTTAGAGTCGATCCACTATCGGCATTGCCGATGCCACCGCCGCTGGCAACTATCGGTTGACCGTGAGCCTGAGGTTGATGTTTAATGGATCCGTCGTTGCGGTATTCTCTAACTAGCATTACATCATTATTGGAATTGGAATTGTTGCTGCTATTGTTGTTACTACTGTTGTTATTTGAATTGTTATTAGCAGAGCTTCCGCCTAAAATATCATTACGAATTCTGTTGTTGGGCGACGAATCGACGGACAGACGCATAGGCGGCTGCTGAGCTTTAGTCATTGCAGAATTAGGCAGTTGATTTGACGGAGGTTGATTGGATGGCTTAGATGGAGGTGGACCTTTCTGTTTGAGCGAATGCTCAATAACTGAGAAGAGAAAGCCCTGCAGGTTTACTGCACTTGGTCCAGTGGCAGAGGAGACTACAACAGAATTGCTGCTGCTACTACTACTATTCGTGTTATTCAATATCATTTTGGGACTTTGACGATTGGCTGGAGAATTTTCGTTCTCTTCATCGGCGGTTTCTGTGGCCGAGGAGTCATATTCCTCGGAAGTCTTTTGTTTCTTGGGGGCATGGCCCAATGGTGGCAGCAAACGTTCATCCGACTTGATAATTGTTACTGATTGGGAACCAACACCAGCATTAGCACTAACAGCACCACTCCCGCCGCCACCACTTCCAGTGGGCGTGGTAGTGTCTGGATTGCTTGAACTGTTTCCAATACCACCAGCCGAGCTGGCAGTTGATATACCTCCGGCAGCCGTTGCTGCTGGTTGCACGCTGCCAAGCAATTGTGCAGATGGCTTTTGCCCAAGATCTTTGGCTAGCGAATTATGACGCTGAGGATTTTCCGGACTCTCCACAGATGCAGTATCGCTACCGCCTGGTTCGCGTTCATCACACGACGACGTACTGACATCCGATTCATCGCCCTCTGTACGTCGTTCTTCGTCCGTTAGATTTATGTGAGGATCCAATTTGCGACGAATCCGCATCAGACAAGCCGAACAGCAACGCGTTGCTTGGGCAGGTATTTGGAATTCTTGCATAATCGGATCGCGGACATCCGGCGCCAGTTCGTAAAGGCGGGCTGGTATATTATGCAAACGTTTGGCACGATCTTTGGGATTGGGACAGGTCGGTAGGGGGCAATTGGGATAACGAGTGCGCACCGATTTGCATTGACATGTATTGCAGACACGTGCACCAACTGGTATAGTATCATCGGATATGCCATACTGTTGACCACGACCCTTTTTAAGTGGGCGAGTGCGGGGACAATTTTCAGCTTTACAAACAAAACAGGTGGCGAGTTTATCTGTTAGTGGAAGAAGAAGAGAAAAAAAATGAAAAATTAGTGGAGAATTGAAAAAATAAAATTGATGCTATGATAAAAAATATATTTTTTAAAAGTCCGCAAAAAGAATTAAACGCAAAAAGAAAGTAACGCTGACGATTGATTATGGCTAATTTTAAATCTTGTATATTCTAGGATCACTTGAACGGTTTAGCTAATTATTTTGAATTAAATGTATAAACGAAGTTCTTTCTTGACACACACCCACCCACCCCTCATATTATTACGTTAGTCTGTTTTCAATAATGTCTTGCGGTTAATAAGAAAATTATTCCCTCTAGAATTGGGGCAATTCTTTGATCTCCTTTCTGGGTATGTTCCATAAAATAACAAACAAACAAATACCCATAGAACATAAAAAATCATATCTTGGAATTACTTGTTAAGAACGAGGCTAAAGAGTCGAGGAAAGTAAGATACTGTAGAGAAAAATAAATCACGTTAATTAAAATAAAATCAAAATAAATTTTCAAAGTATGTTTGTGTTGGCAAGTCTACAATGTTCCTTTTTTAAATAGCTTTTTATTTTTGTTTTTGCTTTAAATGTATTTACATCCTCCCACCACCCATCCACCCATGGATGTCCTTTGTTACTTCTATGAATTTTTTAACGGTTAAAACAGTAAGTGGTGTTTTGAGTATGGTCACCACGTTATCGTCGTCGTCATCATCGTCATCATCCTGGGCATTATCTTCATCATCGTCATAACCACACCGCCACCACCACCGCCATCCATCCATCCATTCAAAATGAAAATTGCAAATAATTGTAAGTGGTTTATTAAAAATTAAACATTTTTACATTTCTCCGTTATTCGTCCATTTTTTCATTTTCGGGTGCTGGTTTTTCTGAGCGAATAGCCTGCCAGCCAGCCAGACAAGAAAATACCGTTTTGTGTATGGCAACAAGGACGAGATTTACCGGAGATGGAGTAATGCCAGTTGTTGTATTTTAAATATTGGACCTGAATGAATAATCAAATGACCAAACGGATTGATAGAAACAAAATGGTATGGGTCATGAGGGGGTGGGTGGTCGAAGTGAAATCAATTAACAAAGCAAAATTTACAATAAAAATAATAACAATAACTTCTCACAAAATTACTTTTGTTTCGAATCTACAGAGAGTCAAATCAGCAATTACATACATTTACAGACAAAAAAAAAATGAAGAGAGAATCTATTTATACCCTACACCACTAGGTGGTCAGGGTATTATGTATTTGTGCATTTGTTTGTAAAAGGCAAAAGGAAACGAAATAGACCCCAAACTCCTTTTGATGATCTGCATAGAATCACATTCTAAATCGATTTATGCATGTCCGCCCGTCAGTCCATGTATTATTATGAACAAAGCACAGGTCGCATTTATTGCCCGATCCAGCTGCACAAGTCATTTGTTTGACCCAAGGACGAACTCTATTGAAATTGGAAACAATCGGTCAAAATTTAAATATAGCTTCCACATATATCTTCGTCCGATTTGCCTTTCATTGTGGACCAAACGTGTAATATCAGACCAAATAGTATGGAATTTTACATATACCACCAATATAAGGCTGCAAATAAGTATACCAAATTTGATCGAAACCGGTTCACACATATAGCTATAGCTCCCAAACATATTGTACATACCGTTTGATATTTTTGTCCTCCGCAGCCGTAATATGCACTCTGTAACAATGATATTTTAGGAAATACAGCTCAGAAATACCTTTGCTAAATTCTATAGAGATCGGTTCAAATTTGAATATAGCTGTCATATATATCTTTGTCCGATTTGCGTTTTATTGTGCACCAAACTTGTAATATTAGCCCAAATGGGATGTAAATTGGAACTTACGACCATTTGAATTTAGCCTAGAAACAAGTATGTCAAGTTTGGTGAAAAGCGGTACATATAAAGTTATAGCTCCTATATATATTGTTCATTCGATTTGTTATATTCTTTATTTATTATTTGTTATATGATGCTCGACTAAATATGAAAAGGGGTTTAAGGTATCATAAAGTCGGCCCCACCCGACTTTTAGACTTTCTTTACTGATTTTCATATCGAAAGGGGGCTATATGGGTCCACGTTTTTGTATAGCCCCATATAACTGTAACACCAGATATTTGGAATTCGGATATAAGGTTTTTTGTGTGTTTAGGCGCTATTTCAAACCGATTTTTTCTGTAATTGTTGAGAAAGTGATCCCTGTGTAGGACACATCGTTGCAGAGAACTGTACGTACATATAGGCCCAAGTTTTGATGTAGACCTCAAATAACTGTACCTCCAGATATTCAATATTTTGATTATTTTGCCACACAGTTTTCACCGGAATTGTTTCAAATATGGTATTTGGAGTTCGTAATGGAAACCCAGCTTCTGTGACAGAAAATTTCCTGTACAGATTCTCGTCTTCGTATAGATCCCATATCAGGGAACCTCCCATTATTCGATATTTTGATGATTTTAGCTACATTTTTGAAAAGAATTATCTCAAATTTCGTAATATACGCCTCCTTCTCTGTGCAGATAATTGGCTGTAGAGGTTCTAGTTTTCGTATAGCCCCATATAAATGTAACACCAGATATTCCAGGTATTTTTTTTAATTTTCTTCCGATTGGTGGAGGGTATTAAAAGTTTTGTCTGGTCGAACAAAGCTGCTTTTTAATGACGATTTTTTTTTTCGAGCGCCTTAAAGTATGCTATATAAATGCTAAGATAAATGTGCAACAAGTAACCTTTACTATGACTAACATGACGCGCGTTAATTAAGCTTCTATTTTAGCTCAGAAAAAAGCAAATTTAGCATTTTATAACGCTTTCTACATGTTTATCCAAAACCACAAATCCTAATATGTGATGACAACCTTTAAAACAGTATTAATTTTCTTAAAACATTCCGCTAAGAAGTTTTCGCTCAGAAGAAGAAAAACATTTGAGAAAGCTAATTTAAATACCCTTTTGTTAAGTGTATTTACATTTTTCTGCCATGCATTTATCTTAATTGCGTTACTCCACCACCAAACTCTCCCCTATCACCATTCTCAGACAAAATAGATGTTCGTCCTGCTCTTTGGTACTTTTGTTGGGTTTAACATGTGCGCAGCATCGCTCACTCTTCTCGTTACTGCTTATTAGTAATTCATCATTATTTTTAATTTCTTACCATTATCACTTAACGTGTATTTGTTTTTCGTTTTTTATTAATTTCTTTTTTTTTTTGTACGGGCAACAGAGTTTGCTTTGTGTCCATTTACATTTTGTTCTCTCCCTCCTCTCTCTCTCTCCCTTTCTCGCTCGCTGTGAATGTATTTATTTGAATATCATTAAAATTTTAATAAAAGCCCAAATACACAAACTGAGATTTCAATAAAAATTAAAAATGAACAAAAAAAAAAGTAACCACCAAATATTCAATTACCGCACTTGATGTGGGGACGGGCGCTAAGAGAGGAGAGGTGGGGTATTGTTTCCATTTGTGTTTTATGAGAATTAAATCGTTTGCATATGACTCAAGAGGCTTAATGTCTCAATGAAACACCCGCTAGGTACAAAAATACAGTTATGAGAAAAGGAACATAAATTCCATATTGTTATTATTGTTAAATTTTTATTAAGATTAAATTATTATTCTCGTATAATTCAATTTTCTGAAGTATCCTTTCGTTTTGCCACGAATCCACTACTCCGCAGAATGTCAGACCAGGCAATAAGTTATTATTAAGATTAGTTGACGGTGATAAGAAATTCATTGTAACATTAACACCCCTAATCAATGTTTGAAATGTTATAGGGTTATACTCGTATCGTACACCATTGCAATGGTGTGACCGAACGACCGACCTAACAACAACAATCTGATGTCCATTTTTTGATGGATGATAAAAATCTCTGTGTGACAAATGGGCAAATAAACAAATTCAATTGACATTAACATGACACAAATAAACAAATAATCGACATGTCTATAAACATCTGTGCACCACATACCATGGGGTATTCAAACATGTGTGTGTGTGTGAGTGTAAATTACATTTCATATAGTTTTATTTACACCTCAAAATGTCCGTTCTCTTTACCTTACTCTTTAGTTTCGCATTGCATCTTCTCTTCAATGTGTTCTCTCTTCTTGTCCCTTTCACGCCGCACTATCGAACACTTTATCACCACCCATATTATATATTTACACACAACTGTCAAAAGTAGTGATGTTGTTGTGATGGCTGTTGATGGTCGCCAGGGCAGAGAACAATATGAAAATTGATTAACTCAAAAAGAATAAAAAATCAAACAAAACTGCAAAAAAATGTAAGGTAAATGACAAAGTGAGCTCGTCGATGAGTAGCGCTGTAGGTCGGACGCATCGACCGGACCAATGACCAATCAGACAAGCAGACGGACGGCCCCCCCTCTAGGCCAGGGCGAGTAATTGTAATTAATTACTGTTTTATGTATGTATGATGAAATGTATTCTTGAGCTGGCATGATGGGGCACAAAAAAATATTTTTTAATTATTTTCATTGCTTTGCCGAAAGAGAGAAAATAGCTCAGCGGAGTTTTTTATGCTGCGGTTGTCACTTTAAATATCATTTAATTAACACGATTTTCCATTAATTCAAGTTATTTACACATGAACGATTTCTGCTGTGTGTGTGAACTGGGGGGTTGGTTGCGTACATTTTACTCTCAGCTCTCACACCCACATCTGTGACATGAAACAATTCTACCGGTGACATTTATATGGCTCAGCAGCTTCAATACTTGATGGACTTCTTTGTTGTGGTGAGTGGTGGGTAGTGCGTACGTTTGTGTGTGTCATCACTAGAATGCTCTGCAACAGACAAATGATGCTGCTGCTGCTGCCACTCTCAATGCTGATGATGATGTTGACGATGATTGTAATACCACTGGTCGGTCTGTGGGATGCACATGCAATACAATCAATATAACTGCTGAATATTGAC